TATACTATTGTTAGTTATTACTACTATATATATACAATAATAAATAGTATGTCTGTATATACATATATATATCTATATATATATATATATATATACATTTTGCTAAAAAATCGGATGCTACATATTAGGGTGAAAGATACCGACTATATGCAACTTTGAATTGTAGGCACATGCTCGTGCATTTGCTCCTTTAATCATGCGAATAGTGAAACTATCGCATTTTGTCAATTATTCTCAAATACATTGTGTACTAAACCACATAAATGCAGTTGTTTCTCTGTGTATGCTCATATCTGTGCATGTGTGACTTAAACTTCGAGATTAGTAGTCGTTTATATTGAGGCGTGATACATTATCTCATGTATATATGGTGGCAAGGACGCTTCTATATCGTCTCGTCTCCATATGTACAATTTTGCCTTTTGTTCCGCAATGTTAGGGGCCGTTCACAAATCTATAAATGTATCGTACCCTAGTTGATATCGGCATGTTTGTTTAAAGGCGCCAACGTAGTACAAGCTTTTTAGATACACGAAACAATCATGACCCTCGTGTCTACGTAGTACAAGCTTTTTAGATACACGAAACAATCATGACCCTCGTGTGACTATGACACCCTGTGTTTTTGCCGCCAGGAATAAAGTATGTCTTTGTTCTGGTCGTCATAGCGAAACTATGAATCATTATACACGTGCACAATCACATTAACATAATATCACACATACGCATACACATGCAAATACATCTTTTCAGTTGCTCACTTTGCACTCGGAAGAGCTATCGCACCCGCATTGCCGACAGGCGGTTGGTATCTCTCAATCCGAATCTATTGCTGCAGTATAACACTCAGTTTTAGTTTAGGACTTGTTTGCACCTCTCACTGTCCCTTCTAATTGATGGTTACTTTCGTCTGCTGTCGACTTCATCATACATCTCACACTAGACTACCTACCAGTATCTTTTGGCTCTGATTCTGAACTTGAAACGTTTATAGAATTCACGTTTGTATCTGATATCAAAGAAACTATCGAATTATCTGCTTCTGGTTTTATTTACGTGCGTGTCATGCGGCTGGTGCACCCTAAGAGTTTACTTCACCTGTTACTGCATATGGTACTCACTTAAGACTCATATCATCTTCCCACTCGAAACCACTGCGCCACTCGGTCTGCAGATAAACATACTTGGCTCAGACAAAGGGTCGTCTACAGTGCAGATCGCTTCACCCTTCATAGAGGATGCCTTTGTATCGTCGCTACAAGTGCAGTATGGCGAATTTAACATCCGATCCGCCAGCGGGCAACAGTGCGCCATAAGCGGTGTGTGCAAGTCACGTGTTAAGAGTATAGTACTGATGAACTATCTAGAGCACGTACAGGATCATGCTATCAATGTAGGATACGATACAGAAGGCCGCATGATTTGGAGTATTTGCCTCGTAACATATAGGCGTAGCCGTACAATGAACTGGCATTGGTTTGCATCGTACGTTTACGTTTGGTGCTGGGGCTTGTACGTATCGTGTATTGCGAGGGCAGCAGAAGTATAGCACAGAATTCCATAGTGGCGTTGTGATACATTTAGTACAGTACATGTACTGAATCCTACGGTACATAAGCATACACATGGAATATACCTACATATAGAATTATACTCGGATAGTCACTCATGTATACCTGCGTTGTCTCTCGTATAGATCCTCCGGATCACCTGGCCACCACTTTCCTCTTAGCGCCTTCTGCCGTGTACTTCACATCCAATTCGCACGTCGAAATTGGGCTCGACCTGGGCAGGTGGCACACGGACAGACACGTGTTTGAAATCGACTTTGGCAATTGCTCTATTCTGAATTATCCCGATACATTCCGCAGGTATGTGTGGTGTGTGTGTGTGTGTATAAATATGCTCAGCTGTCGGGGTGTATGCGTATTGTGGTGCGTACTAATACATCACGCTCACCTAACACGTGCGTTATGTTCACTCATAGCCGTTGGCTTTAAAGCCTCTGCAATGTTCGATGCTGCTACCGCTTGAACAAACTCACAGCACAAACGCACGAGCGAATCTTGAATCCGAGCATTCAGTTGTCTCGCCATTGACAATACGTCAGATTGAAAACAACTGTCTGTATCGTGAACGTCGACGCTTCTGCGAGCATATACAGCTACCAGCTGCGCGTTTACTTACCTCTGCATCTACACCCGATGTGTGCTAACCCCTGCGCCCGTTTGCCTCCCACAGCCCTCGCCTACACATCAACGCCAATGATTGCTCCGGCACAGTCCGCTTCAGCGTCCTTCTGGCCGATCTGCAATCGTGCAACGCCACTGTGGTGTCTGACAGCAACACCGACGAATTCGACGCCGTGGGTTTTGGCGTCGACATCAAGGTCAAGCTGGCCGACAACGGCGTGCCGCTGACGCTGAAAATGGCGGAGACCCGGCTGAACGCACATTTGACCGAGGACGCAGGTGTGGATTGTTGGACAGGGATACTACTTTGTGAGATTGGGGGGTGGGGATTTTTCTATTTTCACACGTCCGGGATCTGATGCCGAGGGTCGCATTGGTGTCTGTTTACATGCTATGCGAGTAGCGTAGATTAGAGTATATACCTGGGTGGTTGCTTGGTTTGTCTGGGTTTGGACCGCTTTTCTCGGCAATTGAGATATTGGACAGCTTCAGACGCGCGTATTGTGGATATAGTTGATTCATTTTGCCTTTCCTATTCATTCTCAGGAGCGGCCATCGTTTTCACTCAACCACGAGTAACGAGTGAATCTGTGCGAGTCGTAGTCGAAACGAATCCGGAAGAGGTGTCGAAAGTATTTGTCAACGTAAGTAGACGACATCCATCAACATTTCTTTGTTGTCTGAAACAGTCACTAGTAGTGTTCGATACCCATTTATACGGCATTTATATGGAGAGGGGTTAGGTTTAATGAGACAGCCAGTAGTCAAACAGTGAATAGGTGCAAGGGCACTACACACGGTCAGAAAGCACCGTTCTTTTTGTTCTTAGATACACCTCGTGTGTACGTTAACGTATCTCATATTTTTCCATGTGGAGAGTTTGTGTACGTAACGTATCTCATATACTTTAATATGGAGAATGTATACGTTAACGTATCTCATATACTATTATAGGGAGAGAGTGTATGTTAACGTATCTCATATACCTCATATGTAATCTGGAGAGTGATTGATGTCAGTTTCTCTCGATCCTTCACAGTTCGCTACCGACGCCAAATACCGCGGCGTGGAAGGCACCGAGGGAGAGGTGATATTCACACCTCACCTGCCAACGTCGGATGACAACGACAGTGCTGAGACGCTCTACACACCCTCGCCAGGAAGTATCAGCGGCTCTGTACTGGACAGCACAACGCTCAGACCCATAGGGGGTATGAAAGTCACCTACAAGGGCCTGGCCGACCCTTTCGCGGATTCCGGTCTGATGCCCGCGGCCAAGTTTATCACAGTGGCCGACGACGGTATGTGGGGCTGTGTAGGGAGAGTGATGTGCGTTGGGTTGTTTTGTCTGTAACTGCTGGTGCTGGCACGATTACTGAACGGATGCGTATTAAACCCTAAAACCCTCATATCCTCGACAGTATGAGAGGTTTTGGAAAGCTCTATGTGGGTCTGAATGTTACACGCCGATTAGAGACGACTTTGCTGCCAGCTGCCTGGCTCAACAACGCCAGGAAAGACTGCCTTTTCCTAACGTCTCCAAATCTATATCACTCACAGGCACCTTTGTACTCGGAGAGTTAGACCCCGGCTACTACGTCGTGTGCGTAGACTTCACCCACCCGCTCGCCGGTGATCGTGTGGGTGAGACCTGGGCGGTCTCGAACGACCCAGACGCATACACTAACGGATGCACTGAGGTGCGTGTGCTGGGAGGCACATACACAGATATGGGAGCCTTCGAGTACGCTCCCCCTAGTACGCTGAGTGGGGTGGTCACGAAGGGCGTGGAGAAGGAAGCCGTCGCAGACATGGAGGTCGATCTGGTCCAGATAACTGGTATGTGCTCTCCCGTGCCACAGCTGACTTGTCTGTCTGATACGATTTTAGCATCACATAACTGTTTCACGCGTGTGTATTGGCCCGTGGTTATCCCGGAAGTGCTCGTTGACTACATAAATGTACCCACCCACCCCGCCTCCCTCCCACCTTTGCACACGCATGGGTACAGGCTTAGGAGACTCAGTCACCTACACTGTTAAGACCACGTCCAACGGTGTCTTCCACTTCGAAGGTCTGGAGGATGGCACATACTCCGTGCAGCTGCCAGCAACGGCGCCCCATGGCAGCGTACTAGACGACAGCCTCCCCACAGACCGCGTATACATCATTGCTAACGGCGTGCCTGTGTCCGGCATTGCAGTTCAGGTCAGTGACGGAAGACCGAACTTGTACATATGCGTACGAGAAAGGCCTGGTGTTTAGTCCGGATGTTATTTTTAAATTATTTATTTTTTGTGCTATGATATGTCCGCTGTACTAGTCCATTTCACACTCGTGCGTGTTGTTAAGCACAAGCGAACTCACCTGCTGCGCAGCACATCACGCTTGCTCCGCTCGTGGATGTGGACCACGTCTGCCCATACGCCTACTTAGCCTACTTATACTCCACATACACTCTCTCACACACACTCTCTCTCTCTCTTCACATGCACAGTATGCCCTATCCTCGCGCATTACCGGCAAGATGGTGTCTGTGAGCGGAGACATAGTCGAGGGCGTACGTGTGGAGCTACTTCGGTTGTCCGTGCCAGTTGACGCGAGCAGTGCAGAAGCCAACGAGCCCATAGAGGAGGTGGCGGTCTCTGACGGGGACGGTGTTTTTGTGTTCGCAAACCTAGATCCTGGAACGTACCTGGTGTGTATATACACTTGTGAAGGTGTACGTCGTGAGTGTGTGAGCTGTTTGCGTGTGCACTCGTGGTTTGCATCCTGCGCCCCGTTGAGGGTGTGTCGTTGGCGTCTACTGAATCGCTTGTTTCTACCGAGATTCATTGTAACGTTTTGAATCTATCTAAAGGTCACGGTCCCCGATATATCAACGAGCGGCGGATCGCTTGTGGAAGCGCCCACAGATTTGACAGTAGACATGATGGAGGAGAAGCAGGTGTTCGAGGTATGTCTGCGCCTTACCAGCTTGTACATAGCTAGTTGTTTGTTAGTGTGGTTTCATGGTGTCCTGCACGAGTTAGAATGAATTAAGCCAACAACCCCACGCGTTGTACAACACCTACATTCTCCGTTCGGAGGGTTTTTCTTCCTTCAAACGATCAGAAACGCAGTTTATATCGAACCTCATTCCCGTTGTGTGTTCTCGCAGGTGCATCTAATGGAGGGCGACGATGCGAACATCGGAACGTTCGCCTTCAGCGAAGCGAGTGGCGTCAGTGGGCGTATTATTAATGCCCTGGGAATGCCTGTGCAGACCTCCATTTCCGCAAAGTCTGGGGATACTGAGTATGTGGAATGACTGTCTTGTTGGCTGAAGCGTGTGTATTTAATATCATTATGGCTGTCTTGTTGCCAGAAACATACATATTCAATATCATGCATATGCGAATGTTGGCAATCTTCCGTTGTTAGTACATGCTATCTATCGCCAGTGCGCATAGTCACCACATGCCTCAGCGGCTGCTCTTTCGCCGGTGTGATTGGATTGATCAAACAATGAGTGTGGCAAGAACAAGTATTCCGTTGCACTATCAACCACTACTAAACTGTCCTCTCCACATACATCCTCGTGCATGTCTATGTGCATCGCATCTCTAATTGACCTCTCGGCTTTGCATACAACTGGTGCCACCGAGCACAGCTGCTCGGGTCTCTCTAATTGGCCACACACTCCCTCCTCTCTCTCTCTCTCTGCCTCTGTCTCTGTCTCTCTTTCACACTCGCACACTTACACAAAAACGTCCCGCAGAATCACAACACAATCCACAGCCGACGGGTTTTACTACTTCGAGGGCTTACCCAAAGGCGAACACACCATCACCCTCAACGACCTGCCTTCAACCATGGGCGTGACGGTGCTCACACCAGACGACAGTGAGTTTGTGGTGCAGGAACCAGTGGTGGCGGGTCTGTTTTCGCCGTTCTCTCTCACTTCCTTATCGACTGAGTCGCCAGATGGATCGGTAACTACGGTGTCCCCTTGCACGCTCGTAGCTAACACTTGTTTTATGGGGTGTATGTGAAGTATGATAGTTTGAACGAAGGTTGGGCATGGTATGTGTGCACATAGGGATGTATGCGCTTTCAGCATACTACCACATACATGAAATCCTAAACCCCTAAAACAAACATGAACGTGGTGAACGTATGTGTACAAGCTTTGCCGTCCTCAGATTTGTGGCTTTCATATTCGATGTTGTGCGTTTATGTTCCCAGTCTGAGTTCTCTGCCATTGTGAGATTATTACACAGACGGCCTCTAACCAACTACTCACTCGTACCTTAGTCCGTGTGTCATAACTCATACCTAGCCTAACTCCCTATCCTTGATTCCGAATACTCAGATCACCATTGAGTTCAAGGGAACCATGGTTACGGGTATCAGTTTCATGATGCAGGAAAAGGGCTCGATTGCCGGGCGAATGACCGATTCGGACGGCACCGGAATCTCTGGTGTACCTGTAAGTACTTTATATCAACAGAACATACACCTTGTGCCCCTGTACGTACTTTATATCATCCGAATAGGCACCTTGTGCTCCAGTCGAACATGCACCTTGTGCTCCTGTACGTACTTTATATCATCCGAATAGGCGCCTTGTACTCGGTGCTGTTTGCGGCCGATGACTTGTACCGTGTACGTAACCGGGTGATAACTTTTGTGGTCAAGTCGTCTGACATGTCGTGTATCTAACACTGTACTATGACCACTATACTATGTGCATGTGCGAAACTAGATGGGGTCAAACTTCAAAGCTCCTGCGCCATCCGCAGTTGTTTTCAACTCGTCTCTTGCCGTTGGTGTTGTTGTTGTACCTGGTCTTGTAGAAGAGACCATTGGGCCGCAAATGTCCCTTATTTCCACTGTGTTTAAATACCTGCATAGGGTGTTCCATAGCGTTGACCATGCACCTTCTCGGTCCAAGTCTCTAACCTTTGGTGTTCATGTCCCTCTAGGTTGTCCTGACCGGCGCCGACGGCGACGGCGACGGTCGAGCCACATCGAATGCCTTGGGCTACTTCGCCTTTGATAAGTTGCCAGTAGATGGCCTGTACAAGCTCATCGCTCCCGGCTTTGAGACCTTCCTACAAGTCGACATGAACACCGTAACGCAGGTACATTTGCGCGTGTAAACACGTGTGTGGGTGGTGTTTGTTGCGCACTCGGGAGACTGGATGGCTGAGGAATGAGTTAAAGTGCGCACTGCTCCGCACGTGGGTGTGGGATTTAACACGTACGTGTGTGATTAGGCTCGCGGGTGTGTGATTAGGCACCTGGGTGTTTTATTAGGTGCAGGCCACTCATACCACATCGCTTGATCGAATGTGATGTGGGCTCAGTTGTTCGCACCAGTCTCAAACAAGGACCACGACTCGTCGTACCCACACAGTATCCATATATTAATTACATGCAGCCATACGTTCTTCATATGTTCCACTATTTAACCACATACCAATTATATGTTCTATCTTTTCCTTTTCAGACATACCTTCATATGGTCCACTACATAACCACATACTAACTACGTGTACTAACTTTTTCTTTATTGCAGCTTGGCTCATTTTCCGCCGAGCGCAGTGGGTTCGTCACGGGCACTGTTGTCAACGCTCACAACGGCGAACGCTTGAAAGATGTGGATGTCGTATTGAGAGACTACACCAACGAGTACAAGGGTATGTATACTGTGTGCTACACCTATACACATGTATGTTTCTTGTGGGATATCCACTGTGTGTTAAACCTATACACATGTGTGTTCTTATGGTGTGTGCCATACTTGTACAGATGTGTTTTTATTTCGCGATACGTAGGGCTAGACACACGCCTGCCTGAATGCCTTCGCTCAGCGAGTGCAGACACATTGTTATGTCGTTCCCAACACGCTCGCACACGTCACACAACACTTCGAATATCCCCCATGTACGCCGTCCGTATATCATTAACCCCTAGCAACATCCCTATATCGCCTAACTACACCCCTATAGCGCCTAATAACACCCCTATGACCCCTAACAGCACCCCTATGACGCCTAATAACACTCCTACAGCGCCTAATAACACCCCTATAGCGCCTAACAATACCCTTCCCCCCTCCCCCTCGCTCTCTCCTCTATAGATTCACGTGCTTATCTTTCTACCTGTTTCCGCACATGTACAGCAATCACCACCACAGATCAAACCGGGCGATTCATCCTGATGTCCGTGCCCTACGGTTCGTACTACCTCAGCGTCCCAACAGACCACGAAGACCACGAGGTTGTGCACAACCCAGACAACACGATCAGTAACACGTACCCTGTCGAGGTGCGTCAGCCCACCGTGGTGGATGTGGGCCACTTTGCGTACTCGTCGCCTGCCACAGAGTTGCCTGACCGCGTGGAGGGCCGAGTCATTGGCACGTACAAGGTGGAAAGTGTGCAAGGCACCGTGACAGGGACAGGAGGACTGGGTGGCAGCATAGGTGCGTTATACATCCGTATCTGCTCGCTTTATGTTATGTGCGTGCGTTCGGGTGGGTGAATGTGTGAGTCTCCTTTTGTCATGTGTGTGCTAGCGGTTTTCGAAGTGGATCTTTTCGATGTCCACATCTGTGGGATGGGATGTGCAGTCAGCGACATGTATGTACGCTGCAGTTTATGTAGAATTACGTGTGTGTCTGTACCAATGTGTCTTGTCACTCCACAGTATCGACTATATGTACAGAGAGCATAAATCTACTTCGCGAAACGCTGGGGGAGTCTAGGCAAGGGGCTTGCGATGACTTTTGTAAGCGTTTGCAACAAGCCTAGATGTGATTGCTATGGCCTCACTGAATGCCATATACATACCTTCATCAACCTCCGCTCTAGATATATCGCAGCAAGTGTGTACTGTGTGCTGTCCTTCCTCCCCCGACCCCTCCCATCTGTCACCCTTAGCTACGCCTAACCTAAACACACACCGCACACGCACCTCAGGGCACGAGACGACAGTGTCCGTTGAGATGATGGGGTGTGAATTGGGTGGCAAGTACACCTTCAAGGGTCTGTCGTTTGACTCCACCGACAACACTGAGGCTCAGATCGTACGAGAGACCACGGACATGAGCTTCTTCCTGACCACGGGCAACACGTGTGGCGTAGCTGGCAGCAAGTTTGCGCCGGTGATGAAGGGGATGGTGAAGCGGGCGAACCAGGACTACGAGGTGGACGCCGAAGGCTTGGGAGCGGCTGTGGGTATGAACGACATGACGTACTGGGCTATCGGCCTATGGTCGGACGAGGAGCGTGTGGAGGTGACGAAGGGCGAGATCACCCAGGCAAAGGTATACTTGTAGTGTGTGTGTGTGAAGTTTAGTATGCTTTACACTGGCAAAAATACACTTGTAATTTGTGTGTGTGTGCGTTTGGGTTTAGTGTGCTTCGTACACGCTGTATTACAACTTGTGTATGATTCTACAGAGCCTCTACGTGACATTGTAGTCGCGTGCGGGCGGGTCTTTCCCACAGCTGGGTATATCCCTCTGAAAGCACCAGCAACACAGCAACTAGTGATGATGTGCTTATCAGCAACTAGTGATGATGTGCTTATCAGCAACTAGTGATGATGTGCTTATCAGCAACTAGTGATGATGTGCTTATCGGCAACTAGTGATGATGTGCTTATCAGCAACTAGTGATGATGTGCTTATCAGCAACTAGTGATGATGTGCTTGCTGTGCATGTATAACAACCCTTTGACCAGTCTGAATACCATCGCCCCCTTGATTAGAAATGTGTGTAATAGGCCTCAAGTGTAGCACAACAACGGCACTCCAGTAGCTTCTGTGCTAGCCCCTCCTGCGTCTCTGTTCGTAGGCATATACCCTATGTGTATCATTAAGTAGGTAGGCATATACCCTATGTGTAACATACCCCTCCTATCACTACCCGCACAGCTGGTTGCCGGGGGAGTGGAGTGCAGCAGTGAAGCTGTAGACGTGCTCGCCAAACTCAGCACAACCAAGATAGAGACAAGCAGTGTGAACGCCTTCTTGGCAGCCGCCATTGCCCAACAGCAGGACACGCAGCCTACAGAGCCCACAGTCATTCTCACGTCCCTGCAGTTGAGCCCAGGTATTTCACCGGCTGCCGTGTGCCCTAATTTAGTGCATATGTCTTTATTTGGTGCGTATGTCCCAATTTGGTGCATATGTCTGAATGTGGTGTATATGTCCTAATTTGGATTGTGTGTGGGTGTCGTATCCGGTAGAGATTCCGTCCCTCGTGTACATCGGTTTGTATATCTCCTCGCAGTGTGTGAAGTCTTTGTTGTTGTTTTTTGAATGCTGCCACCCTAGCGGGTGGTTGTCGCCAGCACTCGTTCTCGGCTGTCCTGTGGAACGTCCCGCCCAGGTCTGTATTTGGTGTGCGTATCATGGAGGTTACTCTTTCCCGACGTTATACAACCCACCATGCCCAACAAGAGTCGTACACCTCACTCCGACCCACACACTCACACGACTCGATCATTCGTTCCCCAGCCATGACCTGCCAGACCGATGTAGTGCGAGAGGGCGTGGCCAATCGGCCTGGCATGGGGCTGGTTCTGCACCTGTCTATAAATGTTGACTACGAGCAACGCGGCGGGTATGTGCCCGAAGCCAACCGTTTCCAGGGCCATCTGCGCCGTAGTGCAGCGCCTCGTTTGCGTCGCAGGCGGCAGGCGGTGGTAAAGAACAGAGACACGCTGACTGCTAGTGAGTCCTTCGCGGCACACTACGACACGCCCGTGGTCTTGACGGCTGCGACGGCTGCGATTGGGTATATGTGTATCGGTGTTTGATACATCGCGCTGCGAGGGCGGCTCCAGTAGTATGGTTATATGTATGGGTAGTGTAGTATGGTTATACAGTATGGGTAGGAGTAGTATGGTTATATATAGTATGGGTAGAGTAGTACGGTTCTATAGTATGGGTAGAGTGGTATGTTATATAGTATGGGTAGAGTAGTATGGTTATACAGTATGGGTAGAGTATTATGGTTATATAGTATGGGTAGAGTAGTATGGTTATACAGTATGGGTAGAGTAGTATGGTTATATAGAATGGGTAGAGTTGTACGGTTATATAGTATGGGTAGAAAAGTAGAGTTATGCATGCGCACGTAACGTCTCGACAGTATAGTCTGTCTGTCCAAACATCAGAATGAACTCGACACTTGACCGTTGTCGGGTGTGTTGGTAGTCCAGTTTCACTCACACCTAGGGCCATGCTAATTCGGACTCATTTTGTCCCATTCCGTCTCAGGTCCAATCCCCTGCCAGTTCTGGGCGATACATCCGCAACTGAACCAGCCGCGCAGGAGCCTGAGTCAGACTTTGACGACAGCGCTGCCGATGCCTTCGACGATGACACCAGTGAGGCCGATGGCGTTGCTGTGGATACGGATACTACTCAGCCTGACTTCCAGCCGGACTTTGGACTAGGTGGGCTGCCTGGCGGCGCTGATAACAGCACCAGCAGTACGGAGGTCCCGAGCTGGGCCGCGTCGGAAGAAGCGAGCATTGTAGCGCAGAATACGGCGTCAGCGGTGCCTGTGGCGAGCGTGCCAGTGGCCACGGCAACATCTGTCGCACCTGCGACTATAGAGACGTCGACAAGTGTGGCTGCAGAGACACCGGCAAGTGTGCCTGTAGAGACGTCGGTAAGTGTGGCTGCAGAGACATCGACAAGTGTGGCTGCAGAGACGTCGACAAGTGTGGCTGCGGTGGAGGTGCCGTCTGTGATGGTGGACAGAGAGGATGAGGCGGCTGTGACAGACAAGGATATCGTAGGCTCACTCGTTGTCCCGGATACGGTGGCCGACGACGTTGACGATTCCGATTCGTCGGCGGTTTCTGCCTCTAGCGCGAGTGACGGAGACGATGATACGGACGGGGGCTCGGGCATCCTGCACTGGTTGATTCCTGTGCTGGTAGTGTTGCTTATACTGGTTATGTCGTACTTCCTGATGCGCCAGTACTACCGAGCGAGGCAGAAGGCGCGGACCGATGCCTATCTGGCACACGCACGTGGTATGGCTGGCACCATGGCCGCCATGCCGGATGCTCAGTACTTCGACCCTCGCAACGGAAGCAGGTATGTCCCTTTATGTTTTATCTCGGTGGGAAAACGGTATAGAGCTGATGTCGGTGTGCCCAAATGTGCATACTTTGACATCTCACGGTCGTGGCGTACCACGGCGTGGATCTGTGTACCTGTCTATGTACGTCTGTAGATGTAGGCTTGCCTTTGTACGCTTGCAATGTCCGTGCACTTGGTATACTGTTGCATGGGTTAGTATCTTTTTATGTTAAATTGATAGCGAGTATGTGAATGTGTACTGCAGTTTCTCAATAGCACACGCGTTCGCGATGTTATGTGCATGATATGCCTGTGCCATCTTTGTGGCTGTTGGTGGTTTCGAATCGCATCAAACACGTGGAGGACCCAAGATATACGCAAGCCAATCACCGGCTATCATTAACACGTTATTCATAAATACAGTGACTGTAATCTGAATTTGCAAGTGTTCATGGATGTCCGTCCCGAATAGTTATAGAGTATCAGAAACGTCTGATACCATCCACGGCCTCGAGATGATCGTGACAATGCACACATATGCTGAACGCAATACTAATTGGACCTTTCTCGTACCGACAGCACGAACATAAGCTCAGATCCCATTCACAGCGGTATGCATATGGGTATGGGAATGCAGAATCTTGGCGGAAAAAAACTAACGCACAGGTAGGTTATGTGTATTGTTAAGGACCGATAGGCTGTGTGCTGTTAGGACTGCGAGTGTTACCTTGTCTTCTGTTACCAAACGCTGACTCTAAGGGATTGAATACAAAAAGCAACCGTTGTCGATCTTTCCTTGTTCTGTTCTGATCGATGTGTTCTCAACCCCAGTTATAGTTTATTTTAAACCCAGGTACAGTTTGTTTAAATCTAGGTATAGAGTTTGTTTAAAACCTAGTTTTAGTGTTTGTTTAATCTGGTTATAGAGTTTGTTTTGAACCTAGTTATAGATTTTGTTTTATACCTAGTTAGTAGTTACAGGTGGTCTGTGGAATCTTATAGCTTATCCCCGATCTTAACTGTATCGTATAATCTCATCTCCATCCTATATTTCATCGTATTATCTCTGTCTAATTGCATCTATCATCACACCAGTAAAACAAAAGAGGTGACCGATAAGGTGGGAGCGATGGGTGAGCGTATCGGCAAACAGTTCAAGGCCTGGGGCACGAGTATGAGCGACATGTTTAATAAGAAGAATGAGAAGCCACTCGAATCCTACAATCCGGTAAGTGCAAGTAAAGTGAACACTGGCATAGGCGTGGGACGCGGTGCGAATTGGCAGAGACGAATGGCTGCAACACTCAGTAGCACTGCCGTGTTGTACTTTGCTTTGATAGTCATATATATATGTGTGTGTGTGTGTGTTTGTCCTGAACTCGGCGACTGCAAGCGTATTGGACTGATACGCATAAACATGGGTACATTGAATGTTCTATACTTACCAGTGCACTTTTGTTTTATTTGTTTGCAGCACTCTGCTGTAACTGTCAATAAAGACTCCATGACCTCGATACCACCAAATGTGATCTGGGATGCGAATGACACAACCAACACGAGCAGTTCGTCACACATGAGCGTTATACACAAGGCTATGGGCAATCGACCCGTGCAACCCAAGAATACGACTACGTCAGGCTTCGGACAGGTATCGACTTGCTATTATCAATTAAAGTCAGTCATGTCTTCACCTCCATGAGAGTGTGCTGTAACGTTACACCAGTCGTGTGTCTAGGTTGTAGCCGATCCTTGCAACATGACTATTTATCCGATCCGGAAGACTCGTCTCGACTTGTACATGGCTTTACTGGGAAAGCCCAATCCGCAATAGGCACACAACACCAACCCACCCGCGATCACCATCATTCCCGCGAACCCTCACATGGCTTACTATTGAATTATGCGCAGGGTGTAACAAAGCTTTTCGGATATGGAGGTAGCAAGAACGAGGACAGCAAGCACAGTGACACGCCCGCCAGCCCGGACCCCAAACCGGTACGTAGGAGTGCTCGTGCGTTATATGCGTACAATACGCAACTCACCCCCATTTTTCGGGCCCTGCTGGCGAGGGTCATATAATTCTGTGATATGGGAGTGTTATTGTATTCAGGACAGGAGCCGGTTTGCCATCACTCCGCGTTCACAGTAGAGTTTCATATGGCTGTGCCAGCGTCGAGCGGCTGTTCTGTTTTCTTGATTATAACTTACAACAGTTTTCTAATGAAGTGAACAATGTTCTCGAGCCCGTTGTATTGCCGTTGTACGTTCCAGCTGAGCAGACCTTACTCACGTACTAAAGCTTTTAAGGTCAATAAATAATTATATCGTACATTCCTTTCACTCACAGGCGCAAGGCGGAAGCCTATTCTCGAAAAGCATGGGGATGCTAGGAGGCCTAGGCGGCGGTCGGGCCAATAACATGGTCGACGTAGATACTGGATTTCATACAGAAGATGACGACGACAACACTGCGACGCGTAGGATAAAGAATATAGACTACTCTAATATGAGCTTTGGCGTCAGCAGGACACCCGAACAGTTACGTAGTCAGCGCAACACCCACGTGGCCGTTGTGGGTGGCAACGGGTATGCGATGTTTAATCCTGAGGCGTCACCCGGTGCGTTTTCACCCGATAGTGTACACTCGGCGGATCGCTATCTGGCACAGCGATCCAATCAGATGTCTGGCCACAATCCCTACGCTCGGACCGAAGAAAACGCCTTCCATTCAGCCGGTGAGTGGCTGTCACCCGAACGCGAGTACAAAGTACAAAAGAGTGAAGGGAAGAAATCTTCAAGCGGTTTGGATCGTGGGCCTATAGCGGCGCGTCCCCGCCCTGGTGTAACCAACAATGGGAATAGCGCACATCCTGCTGTGCCGCCTCACATTACCGAGAGTACGGCTGACAATGTGTTCTTCAGTCCCCATGGTTCGGTGCACGGTGAAGACATCTATCGAGATGGCTATAGTGATGAAAGTGACGGAGAGGTCCCCAACCTCAATTTATCTGGATTCTCAGGTGTCGCCCCCACTAGCTTGTAGATAGAATTCAACTACTTTTTCTGTGTGCAATCCGCCGTGATTTGTGCGTCGAATGAGAAACCGATATACATATGTTTCAGATCAAGCTGGTAACTTCAAACCGGTGATTTAAAAAATGTTATATTAATCCATCGTGTGTCCGGTATGATTGTTCTGCCGCTGATTAGTACACGAGCGAATTTTATAAATCTCTGGCCTACTACAAAGATGTCTAATGTTGCAGAGCTTCACTTCTTTGGAACACTATCCTGATTTTATTTTTTTTAGCCCTGTATGCTACCACTGAGCAAACTTTAAAATGGCTATATATAAAACTCCATCAATCAAATCTTGAATAATTTCAATCGCACGTGCTGTCTGAGAACAGATGCAGAACCCTACACGTGTAGGTTGAGGTACGTATATTTGTGAATTCGTTAGTCTCCATGACTCACGAGATCAGACGTGTATATATAAGAATTTGTGGAATTTACAGAAGTCAAAAACATTGAACCAATAACATGACGGTACTGCGCCCTGGCAGGCTGGCGGTCAGCTCAGGCCTCTCAATGAGATGGGGTTTTTTTACACGTATATAGCGGCCGGACTGGCATAGCCTCCCCAGTATTTGTGCAATCCACCCTGGAATACAGGGTTACCCATTTCAGCACTGCCAGGATCTGGGACGACAAACATTTCTTATTACAAGCCAGGCCCTGGCGACCATTTGCGGCCATCAGTATTTACCAGCGCCCTCCACCCCAGAATCTACCTAACGCTCTCCTGTCGGTCATCCTGCCGGATCCCCTCCTCCCGTCGTATCCCTGGGGTCGACGCTCCATTTCGACAACATAAAGCTAGTAGACATTAAAGTGAGGCCGGATGATCATACCAAACATTTAACTCTGGCGTATGGTATCAGGCAACGCGGGAAAGAGTCAAGAGTCTTCTTCGCCAGATGGACTCTATAATAGTGGTGATTGCAAATTGAAGAGAGCGAGGACAATAAATACATACAAGATTAAATTTCGGTTAAGATAAGACATGTCACAATACACACATATACGCGTATTATCAGGCATAAATCATACTTTAAAAAATTCACTGTTATTGTGTATATACGTACAGTATACTGTGGTATGGTGTAGGTGGCAATTGTAGGTGGCTCTTACAATGGTGGCCAATTTAGGTGGCTTGAACTGTAGGTGGCGGTCTAGGTGTCTCTTACAGAGGTGGCATCAAGATTTCTCCATAATTTTAGTCATAAGGTTGTTTAAAAGTCATAATTTTTAGTCCGATATTGTTGTCACTTTAGGAGTTACGTCTTGGGAATGTTATTAGGATAGAGTCCTGAAAGAGTAAAATGACTGAGACGATATGTACATATAATAGTATCACGAGTTCTACAGTTCACAACGTCACCGACACGGTCGACAACTCGACAGTTGAGTCGACACTCGACACTCTTCTTCCGAGTTCCGAAGTTTCCGTCTTTCTGGCACACTCAGAGTCGGAGCTGAGTCTCTATGTAAACTCTTACTCTCTGGGAGAGAGAGAGGGAGAGAGAGTAGAGCAGAGACGACTCTAGTTTTTTTTAACTTGTCACTTGCTCGTTAGAGTAAACTAAATACCGTCTCTCTAGAGAAATTATAGATATGACTCTGCTGGGTCTGAGCGCAACGACAATTGACAATTTGACATAATACCAGACCATACATCACATAATTTTGAAAAAATATGAAGGGCGAAAATAGCCGTAATTATTTAAAGAAATACGTAATATGACACAATTCCGGATTTCAGAAATTAATAAATATGGGTCGAAGACAAATTGAATTTTGTAAATTTTTAAAGCTTAATTAAGAATTTTGTAAGAGTAAGAAATCACGCAGTTCTTAATAAGAAATAGGAATTAAGAAGTCGACATACCTTAAATAAGGAATATGGAAAGAATTAAGAAGTCAACATACCTTGAATAAGGAATATGGAATGAATTAAGAAGTCAACATACTTTGAATAAGGAATATGGAATAACGGGATGATCCCGTAATATGAAGAACAAGACATTACTTGATTAAGAAGTCGATTCAGAAGTCATTTTCCACTCACCACTGATATTTTCCTACGTGGCTCACGCGGACTCACGCCCCACAGGGCCCGGTCTTTGCGTTTCTTAAATAAGTTTCTTATTGAAAACAAAATTTATGACTCACATAGCAAATAAAAGTACCCGTGTGGGAGTCTCTGGGAGACGAGTTAATGCATTCGGGATGGCGAGTAGTGAGGCAGATACACCGGTTAGGGATAATATTATTTATTTCAAAAATGGCAAGTATGTATGATACAATGTAAAAACATATGGTATGGCTCTCATAGTCGCTGTAGTGGTTCAGGAAAGATTGATAGGAAGAAGTGGTCAGTAAATTCCCGTTCGAAGCTTGGGCCAAGTGAGTCGACAATGGAAGATATGTGCTGAGTCAATTCGGGCCGGTGTTGACAAAACACTGTTACTATCGAATGTTCCATATATTCGCTTGCTGACCTACTAAGTAGAGTACCCACCTCTGTGGTACGGATCGGGTCTGCGCCGTGTAGTGCCGCGGAATGGGTTAGTGCAGAGTACGAAATACCGAGAAGGACCAGGTTATCCGTCGTAATCCGGTCGAGAAGCGAGGATGGGGGTACGCCAATGCCGCAACAGACCACGGATGAATTCGGTATGTGTTGGCTGGCCTGGATCGGAAGTATCATAGCCGGAACCAACAAGCGCGATGATTTGGTTTGAACCGATATTTGGAAGTAGTACTTCAACAGCGTGATTAGCCGGGGTATGGGAAACATCTGTTTATGTGTCAGGTGCGGGTACGGTGGTTCTTCAACATGCTGGAGAAAAGATCCAAGGTGTTCGTGGAGGGTCCAGATACCGTGGAAGTCGTGGCACTCCTGTAGTTGCTGAAGGAGGTCAGGGCCGCTGGGCAGCAGTTTCGGGCCGAAAGAGTGCTGTGATGACACATCGGCAGGACTACAGAAGAATGTTATTGAAGCACTAGACGGAATTAAATTGGATATAATCATACTGATAAAGGCTTAACGCTACAGCTTGCGGGGCTTTTAAAGAATACACATCACATCGTCGGGTGCCTGAGGATGTGTACGACATTGTCACAGCCGAGATGACGGCCAAAAATTGAAAAGATTGTTAATAAAATAACACTATGCATATCATATAGCGATGTATCTGTTTATTTATTGACGACACAGGCTACAAGATATTCTAATCGACAGCCGACTATGTATATATGTACCATATGTGGTTGTAGGACCTAGAATATAATGACCTCTCCCTAAGTCCAGTATTTGCTGCCCCCAAGTTCAATATTGGCCGCCCAAAGTCAGTATCACGGCCACTTCAATAAAGGCCGAAAATTCACAAGGCAGTTTTAGCTTCCTTTGATCCTTCCAACAAAACAATCCACGAAATCCGATTTTGAGATTTTGAATTTCTTCAATGTGTAAATCGGCTTTTAATTTTTATTTATTTATTGGAACATCTTTTTTAAAAGCAACTGCACCATATTCTTTTCATTCTTTTGTATTTCCCATGAGCCTTCTGGTGTGTTGTATAAGGCTATTTTTTAAAATAAAACTCAACCTTAAATGGCTCTTTTTTTACGTTTAGACTCGCCCGATTTTACAAATATAGGTATTTTATGTTTGAATTGTATTTTATTTTTTTAAATTGTCAATATTTGAAAGGCTATGAATAAATAGAAATAAAATTGCCCTATGGCTCTGAGTCTGACTCTGCAGAGTCTGATGTCTGATGTCTGATGTCTGATGCCTGAAGTTGAACTCTGAAGTCTGAAATCCGAACTCACTGTAATACCCGTGTCATGTTCTGATAAAGATTTTTTTTTAAATAGTGATCTTTCTGAAATGAAATATTTTACCGAGTGAGAGTTATGTATTTATGTACTATGTAAATAGTGTTTTCGTTTTTTCTTTATTTTTTAAAACATTCTTTTCTCGCAAGTTCTAAATGGCGAAATCAATTAGAAAATCCAAGGCGCAGTCTCTATTTCGAAGAAATAGATTTCTACAGAAGTACGTTCCATCACTTGATTAAAGTTCCTGCCTTCCTGGAGTTTCAACTTTCAACTCTTTCAAAATTCAAACAGAATTGCTTACTTCACAAAATCATATTTTATTGTTATTTTAAAAAGCGCTGTCACTACTCTCTACTCTCTCTCTCGTTTCCCCGGACAACGAGGCACTCCGAGAGTTTTTAATTTTTCTATTTTGTTTTTTAAAAATACAATACATAGCCTACTCGACTATGTAGAAATGGAACAAAGAATTTTAAGAAATACAATGATTGTTTTTCTTTATTTATTTATTTTGGAATATATTCACAGTGATACTTGTCCCCTCTTGTATAATTTAGAGAGCTATACTTGTCCGGTCACTCCGGTGTCCTCATTTCTCGAGTTCTCGAGTTCTTGATATTCTAAAAACTAGTAGGCCCCTATTTCTTTTCTAAAATATTTTGCTTTTTGTTTTTAAAAAAATATGAAATTTGGTCTCTCGACTAACTGGAGCCGTCTGCTGGGGTCCTTGAGAGTTTGAGGCTGTAAAGTGTAGACTGGAGAGTGGAGCCTGTGGAGGACTGGAGGGCGGAGTATTTTTATATTTATACTGTACTACTGTAGTCATAACTGAAGTCTGAAACTGAAAGTCAACCCTTTTTTTTTAAACAATATCTCGCCCAGTCCGCTTCCTAATTATTTAGTGATATATTTTCCTCTTTCTCTCCCGCTGACTTCGCTCTCTCTAAAAAATAGATGTCTGTAAATATTTCATTTAAAAAAATGGTGTGCCTGATCGGACTATAAATGTCCGGAGGACGACAAGATGTAGGATTTTTAAAAATAGTACATAGTCGCGATATTATTATTACCTCTCTTTTGTACTCTCTGTACTGGTAGAGGAAGATACTAAATGTGTCAGATGTATCCGGATCCACAATATTAACTGATCTCAATTTGAATAAGTTTCATCAATGATAGAAAGCACGAGAGGACAACAACTTCAGCTGCATACAAGCACATTTAGTAATAGGAAGAGGAGCTGCACGATCAATTCATAGCTATGAGTGAAGACGCGTACCAATATATATTAGAGTTGGAACTGTTCAAGGTTCCATCTGAGCCCTATTCGCCTCTGATACCGTATGGAATGCACGTCAAACGAGTCAAGGGCTCCGGACTTTTCGTTATCGGCTTAATTAATGATTCGTTAGCAGAGCGTGCAGGCTTGCGATTCGGGGACGTCATAATGAAAATTGAAGATGCAGGTAGGTGTGAAATGAAAGTATGTTCTTTATGTTATGGCTGTGTACTTTAAAATTATGTGCATTTGGTCCAAGTGTGTTATGGTTTTCATCAGCACACTTTACTTCAGCTGCACATTTGAGATTTCGTGACGTGCTTTATACAAAATAACTTTTCCTTATCTACAATCTTGCGTTATCTCAACTAATTTATTCGTCCACATATGTCGGTCTTACATAGTCTTATATTCGGAGCAGTGTACTGTATACTAGTAAACAGAGATATCATACATTTGTACTCTTTTAAATCATTTTGATCGGTTAGGGTCAATCAATCGATAGCTCGCAAAAATGCAAATAAGTGTAAGTTGCGTTCACTCCGCATTATCTCGGCGCAGTCTACCGTACAATCAAAGTGGTTTTGATTTAGTAGGTGCTTGCATCACTACAGTGATTAACAAACGTTGAAACTCAGTCTGATTACATTATTCAATATTTAAATGTTAAAAGTCGGTCTACTAACATTATCCGATATTCACGCTTACAATCTCTATCACAGACACCAAGGTTGAGAACATACCCACAGCTAAGGCCATTACACTACTAAACGAGGGCGATTCGATTAACATCACTGTTCGCAAGCAGCCCAGCTACTTGCTGCAGAGATCATCGCCTCACACCTACTGGGGATTTTCTCATAGTAAAAACATCATTAAAGCAGACATGTTCACCAGGTAAGTATCTCTTTGATCCGCGATGTGATCAGCTACAATACACCTGATATTTATTTTTCGCACATAGCTTCTAATAATAGACAATTTTACTAAAAGCTAATTCTAACCCAGCAGAGGCTCTCCGGCAGAACTAGCTGGACTACCACGGAATCAGGCAATTATATCAATCAATGGCATCTCATCGATTTGCTTAGATCATGCTCAGGTCCATGATACACTGAGATCATGCGACAACCAACTGGCAGTACGAGTCATGTATGTTTTTAATGACGCTGTCGTCTGAGCTTCGGAGTTTTATTGATTACCGCGCATAAATCAGTGAAGTCGGTATGTTGATCTTGATCTTGATGTTCACCGTGCACTTTCGCTGCATCACCAGGGATGCGTCACTGTACACCGAATTTTTGAAATGCAACGGCCTCACACAAGAATCATCCCATGAGAGCTTTGCCAAGGTCTTTCAGCCAGATTTGCTTGATAAACAGGAAGATGCGAAACTGCTCAGTGATGTAAGTCGGCAATTACAAATGACGAGACTGAGTATTGATTTATGGTGTGATCGCAGCTTCTTTTGACATGTACATTGATGCACATCGATGGTCCTCACCGCGTAGTTCTCTTTCTTATTACAGCCCGGAAAGCCTATACATGATATTGGGTTCAGCATCTATAACCAAGGTTTTGACGTCTGCCATCGAGACTGTATCACAGGTATGTAGGGTCGAAGCAGACATAAAACTAGTTTGTATTTCTTGTTTTTCTGGGGGGGGGGTTTTTCCGTACATTATATCATTACCATTCATACATTCATCTATGCGTAGGCGAAAAAGGTGATGGCGAGAAAGTAAAGGTCTGGATATCTAGGTACAATGAAGAACAATCGACAGGTTCGCTGCACAGCAATTCGTTCCACCTTTCATCGTTGTTTAAGAGGCGCAAAAAGAAGAATGACATAGAGGAGAAGAAATCGAAAGGTATAGGTATTTTGGGGTTGATATAGGGTAGTTTTTATCTCGTACGATCGTCCGTTACTGTAATCGTTCGTGTTGTTATATAGCTTTATATGATGGCACATGTACCCAGCGATTTAACATTAAGTGTAAATATGTTCAAAATGCTAACGCCTTCATTTTTGCTATCGATCACAGGTGCGCGTGCAAGTGAACTGCTTGGCGCCCTTGGGCTGCGTCATTCTCCGCCTTTGACAGACTCAGTGGTAGCAAGTGATACTTCGGCTACTGACACAGAATACATCACCACAGATACACCGAACAACCCAGATGATAATGTTTTGAACCTACTGGGAGACAGCCAAATCCTTTTGAATGCATTGCAAGCGTCAGAAAGCCCTGCAAGATTGCGCATGTCCAATGACTTATTCACAGACGATGCTTTGGGCAATCCTGGGCGCGAAAGGGGCATGCGGCCCAATCAACGAGACAATAAAACATCACCAATTGACGAGGAGGGCAATTGGCAAGCGCCTCACTATACATTGGTATCAGATAATCCGATGGAGTCTGCCGGCGCATCAATACACAACCTACATCCAGCATCGCAACCAGGCACGCGTAAGGTAATGAAAAAGCGAGAACATCGTGTGGATGGTCAAGGGATTTCCCCATCTCACGTTAAGACCAGCAAGCGGACACAAGCATACACTGCACGACGCCGGATATCATCGCCCGCGCTCTTCCACGAACAGACCCGAAGGCACGAATTGCACAATAATGGAGATAAGAGCTCAAGTACGCTTGCCGCCCGAAAATCACAGGGGGGTACGAGACAATCTAGGCCAAAATCAGCCTATGTCGATAGAAATATGCAGGAATGGGCGGCCTTAGCTCCTAGATCGATTTCAACTGAAAGCCTGGTACTTAGTCCGACCGAGCCAGCAAAGTATTATCATGTCAAACATCGGGTCTCCAACGTAAGGCAGCGAAACTCACAAGAAGGTAACGGCCGACCCGAGCACAAGCTTACGCATAGATATCCGAATCATCAAAACAGTGCACATCTTGAAAACCGACGAGAAGAGTTGAACTCGGGAGCTAACAGAGACCCTCCAAGTTCACCATGCTTTGCAAAAAGTGGTCTAAATAGTGACAGATCTTCACGTGCGAAACAACCTTCGACACCGCGGAGAATATATATCGCGCCGCCGCCGAGTGTGAAATCAGGCGACGTTGCTATGGTTCCTAAGAGCAGTCAAAACGGTTGTTCACCCCCAGTGCCCATGCCAAGCGGCACGCCTAAACCCCGCGTCAGACAGACTGAGGATAGAAGATACGTAGCAATGAGTACAAGACCGAGACCTCGGTCCTTCCATATACCCAACAACGTTGAGGCCGCGTACTTTGCAGTCGGTTTAGGACCACACGATTCAAAACCCCCCAATTCGATAAGTGTCACTAGATCCCCAGATCAAATAATCGAGCAAATGACAAAGATGCGACAAGTTCCCCAAGAACCACCTACTACTTCTATCAAACCACGTGCTCCAAGTGTCATTAGATCCCCAGATCAAATAATCGAGCAAATAACAAAGATGCGACAGATTCCTCAAGAAGCACCTACTACTTCTATCAAATCACGTACTCGTGCTAGCGCACAATTGGTTGAACGACACACATCGCCTATGAATTACGCTTCAGACTTGCACTCGGATTCGTTTCAAAGCGCGCCTGTGGTAGTCCACCCACATACCAGGCCTCGCAGTCTCAAGGTGAGTGTTTCGCAGGCTAACACTCCCAAATCGTCCCCACGTGGCCCGCAAAGTGACAGTATTGTAGCAAGCCCAAGACCTATTTGCACGCTACCGACACAGCGCAACAGCTACACTTCTGGAGAAGCTTTACTGAGTGGATATCGGGCACAGAGTCCTTTGGAGAGAAGCAGGTCAATCCCAGCAAGGCCAAGGCCTAACAAAACAAGCGCTCCCGAGCCGAAGTCTAAACGGGAGTTTTGTCTGGGCAACTCTATTAAGATCAACGACTCAATTCTGCGACAGTGGAGCGCGGAGAGCACGTTAGGAAGTACTTTGACCCCCAATCGAAACGCTAAATGCGCGGACGTGAAAGCCCCGCCAGTTATACAGATTGTACCGATACGGGCAAGATCACCCCTGCCCTCTCGCATTCGCCGTGCAAGCTACGTATCATAGCTTATACGTTTATGTTGGAACTATGTACAATACATGTTTTGCTTCCGTAGTCTCAGTAGAGACACACGAAAGTATTTAAATAAATACACTACTACTAGAGAGCAAGCTTTTTGAAAGATCTACTATAAAATATTTAGAAATAAAGCAGAAACAAGAACATATTTACATACATACAAGTGTATGTACTACTGCAGACTGTATCCAAATAAGGAAATAGTAAAAGGGCGGGCAATATACTGTTTCGCTATGATTTAAACGGCTAGTATAGCTGCTGTCCTTTTATATAAATACAAATATCGTTTTTAGGAAGAAGGTAAGCGTCAATATCAGGTGTTGCTGATATATAGTGCGGCAACTAGCTCATACACGACACACCGTTGCTGGCAAGCATTAGCAACCGAAAGTGTTCTTTGAGCGTTCAATAGCAACATCACAATGATGGAAGATCAAGCTGTATGTCCAGACGTGGAGGACGCCCTCATCGAACAGGTAGTCTTGGCGCAAGGCACTGGCATGCGTTTCAATAGAGCCACACGATAGTCGAAATAAACTCAATCTTGTGTACCTTGAATTACACTGTTATAGTGGTTTAATTTAAAACCTGCTTAATATTCATTTTCAATCTGCCTGATATCCATTCAGGAGTGCTTCCACGACGATATCGATGCCATCCAGGAGCATGGCATCAACGCCGCCGACATCCAAAAGCTGAAGTCCAGCGGAATCGCAACGGTGAAGGTATCCTCAAATACAATAGAAGTTTCATCGCAGATTAAGTTAAGCTGTTGGTCTCTCCTTTACTCTTTATCATGGTGTAGCCAATTGATTTGTAGTGCACCAGATTTCTCCTCGGAGACGTGGCTCAGGCGACAATAAAGGATATGCTTCGAAAACGAACTTTCCCCGTTTCATCCAGTCCTCATCCAAAGCAGTCAGCTATAAACACGCAATAACGGTTAAACTATGATTTACATGAGACAGGGTCTCCAGATGCAAACCAAGAAGACATTGATTCAAATCAAAGGGCTTTCGGAGGCGAAAATTGAAAAGATTCGCGAGGCCGCTAAGAAAATATCCGTATGCTTTCGTGGATGGATACTCGATTGTGGATACCTTAGCATACAAAGCAACCGCTACAACATATTGGAGTGCAGTCCTCATTCTACGGAACATATAGTCGGTTTAAACTTTCCTGTTACGGTGCAAGCAGGCAGGGTGTGATTTCGCACAGAATCATGGCATAAATGCACGAATGCGTCTGCTTAACCTAATCGAGTTTACATTATCGGTGTATGAGGACACGAGAGAAGTTTCCTGACTCTTTTACTGTTGCTTATGCGTACTTTAAGCCCTACATTGACGAATCGCTGAATTAGACGATGATAATCGGTGACCTGCTTGTACTTCTGAATTCCTAAAGAGCCTGTTCTTCTTTATGGCCGTGACTAACCAATAGAAAACTGGTTTCATGACTGCTGCCGATCTGCGAATAAAGCGGGAGTCTGTTGTCCGGTGCAGCACGGGGTCTTCCGATGTAGACGCATTGTTGGGTGGTATGGGGGTGGCCGCTGTCATTCAAGTACCAATGCTTGCGTGCATGTGGCTCAATATCTGGTGAACATATAACTGAAATGAGGCATACGTTTTACAATTGGCTATTTTGACCAAACATATGTCGTGTACGATGTATGTTTTGAATTTGGAACTCTGTATGCGATCAGCTCTTTACTGCACGCACGCAAGTCCGCCTCGTACCGTTCTACTTCACAAACCATCCGAGGCTCGTGATTAATATCGCAATATCAACTTCAACATCACCGATTGTCATATTGCATTGGTTAATTGCTTGTTATTGTACACATTTGCGGCAGGCGGTATACCATCGCAGCAGATCACGGAGGTCTTCGGCGAATTCCGAACAGGCAAATCTCAGCTGTGCCATACCATGTGTGTCACCGCTCAACTACCTACTAGCCTGGGTGGTATGGAAGGCAAGGTCGCTTACATCGACACTGAGGGTAAATCAGGATTATCATGTCGATCTCGTTGCGCATATTAAATTACAATGTTGGTGTTGTGTTCGAGTGTATTTTCACACCACTTTATACCTCCATCAATCACAAAACCTATTGGTATATCGATGGCCAACCGATATAGCCCCGTGCCCACCCTAGCAATCTAACAGAGTAAAAGTATGCTTCCAAATGTGAATCTTATCGACGGTTTGCATCACTAGGTACATTTCGTCCTGAGCGCCTAATGCCCATTGCGGACCGCTTCGGCGTGGATCGAGATGCAGTCCTCGACAACATCATGTACGCACGCGCATATACAAGCGAGCATCAGATGGAACTTTTGACCATATGTGCCGCAAAGTTTGCGGAGGAAAGAGGGACCTTTAAGCTGCTTATAGTTGACTCGATCATCGCCTTATTCCGTGTGGACTTCTCCGGAAGGTATGCACCTAAGAGATCCGCTGCCCTGCCTAGAGAATCAAGACACAACCTTTTTAAAATTGTGTGTTGGTCTCCATGCGCACGAGTTGAATACATTTGCTAGCGCTCAAGCGCATTTGAGCATTTGGTAATCAAATAATATTCCATCGCAAACGATCGTGTGCGTGCACTACCCCCATTATTATAGAGGAGAACTTGCCGATCGCCAACAGAAGTTAGCGCACATGTTGTCTTGCCTTGTGAAATTAGCTGAGGAGTTCAACGTTGCTGTGTTCATCACAAATCAGATGACAGCCGATCCAGGAGCCAATGTCACGTTCGTGGCTGATCCTAAAAAACGTGAGTGCAAGTTATTCAAGCATGCTGGTTTTGCATTGAACAAATTATAGCCTAAATACACCAGATATTGTGCTTTCCGCCATCAAGGTCTCGTATTGGCTGTTATTTTTGATCTAACAGCATATCCGCTTTACTTCATATCAGCCGTTGGGGGGCACATACTTGCGCACAGCTCGACATTGCGCTTGAGGTAAGTACGTATACAGCACTCGATTTGATGGGCGCCACAACTGCTCGATTATGCTTTAGTCGTAGCAATAATGCGAGGCATAAACTACGATCTTTTCTACTAACAACTCACGACTCCATACCTAATCTTCTAAATGATCGCCTCTGTCGACTCTCGCATATCGGATTCTCTACATCAGCTTGAGAAAGGGTAAGAAAGCTCACAATCGACGTCTTTAATTTAGTTCCTTCAGCTGCGGTGCTTTAAGGCATATGCTTGCTGAATTCTCGTGGTAAGCAAAAGTGCTGAGGCACAGTTTCGCACTTATATCAGGTCGCGGAGACCAACGTATTTGCAAGATCTATGATTCACCAGACATGCCAGAAAGCGAAGCGGTGTACCAAATTACGAACGGTGGAATCGACAACCCTACCTCTTAGGTGAGCCGCGACGCAAGTATTGCTAGAAGAATAAGTGTGTTGAAACACAGACGGACAACTACATATCAGAAATGTGGTACCGGTGGGTATGAACAGGGAGAGCTTGCAAGTTTGAACCGTTTGATTTTAATGAGTGTTGAATATCTGATGTCGACGGGAGGAAGACAAGCTTAGTAGCGTATTAACCCTCCTGTAATATGCTTCGGTATATCCCCACAGACGATCAAGATGAAGCGCGCCCAAAAGCTCAGTACCAAGGATTGCAGCTGCAATTATGACTGCAATATGCGGAGATCCGCGAAGAACCATATAGGCTGCAGATATAAAGTACAAAATAGACTTTTGTTTGGAAGCACGCAGAATATTGGTGGAAGAGACACATCGCGCACCAAACGACTGGACATCACCTTCAATCGCCCTTTTGATTAAATATAAATAGGCCGCGGCTAAATCCACGTTCATCCCCTTGCTGTAGAATCCTATTTCACGATGTAACAAAACGCAGTACAATGGCAACTCTTCTATACTTGCAGCGATATATACTTACTGATATATATTGATCCACAAGCTCCCACGAGTATGTCGAGATGCACAAAGGTATTCTTTTCTGCAGCATGACATGAATGTACATGTATATATATATATATATATGTGTGTGTGTGTGTGTGTGTGTGTGTGTGTGTGTGTGTGTGTGTGTGTGTGTGTGTGTGTGTNT